AGAGTCTTTGGTCAATTTGGAGGTTGATCCTTTAAAGCAATCGAAAAGAGATTAATTCTTTTAAATCTCTGTCTCTTTTTATGAATAAAGCCTTAAGGTATTATTATCTAGTATCAGAGCCTTGAAAGAGCCCAGTTGCTTCAAAGCAAGGTCCTCGCTATCATCTTTAAGTCTGTTGGACAACTCCCTGATCACCGTCGATTATGGGTTTTCTTAACCTTCCCTCAATCTTCTCTTTAATGACATCATAGGTCTTTGACACCTACGTCGCCAACAACTTCACCTTAGAAATAAAAATTAAGAGCAGACTACAATAAACTCTTAATAATTTCAAAAAGAGTTTGCTTGGGAGTTTTAGCGAAATCAGCAAGATGAAAGTTTGGGTTTTGCCAGTAAACAATTAGATCGATCTGAAGTCACAAGAAGAGACTATCAATAGCATAATAATGACTACCCTTCCATGAAAGTAGAATTTCCTATATGGGAAGATAGAGATCCAACTAATTGGATTTCTAGAACAGAGAATTTTTTTTACTTTCATAAAACTTCATAAGATTCTAAAGTAAAAATAGCTTCAATCCAACTAGATGGAGATACTATTCAATGGTATAATTAGTACGAAACCTGTAATGGAATTCTCTTATGGGAACAATTTAAGAAAGGGCTTCTTGTTCGGTTTAGACCATCCTAATATGAGAATGTTGATGGGTAGCTTATCAAGATTTGCTAAACTTCTACTGTGTTGGAGTATCAAAGTCGATTTAAATGATTATCAAATTAGACTAAAGATTGATCTAAAAGGTAATTGGTGAGAACATTCATTGAATGTCTTAATTCAGACATTCGTTGTGAAGTTAAGGCTCACTATCTTGTACTATAACCGTTGTAATTTCTTTTACAAGATTGCATAAAGAAAAAATTAACATAAAGAATCATCAATCTAGGAGTGTTAATAAATAAGTGATCAACAAGTCAACTACTTCAACCATTCATAATTAGAATCATAATACTAGAAGATTAAACTAGAGAAACTCAAAGAAACATTAGTAAAGGGTTTGTCTTGGTATTGTGATGAAAAGTGGATTAGAGAACATTGTTGTAAGTAAGAAAATTTTTTTGATGATTGAATCGATTGAGAAGAAATCAGAGATTGAGGCTATAGAATCTGATCATAAACGTACTGATAATAATGAGATTATTAAACTTATCACATATACTATTCATGCATTAGTTAACTATTCTACTCCTCAAACTATGAAAGTAGAAGACTTTTTGAAGCATCAATCTATTATTATTTTGATTGATACCGATAGCATCAACAATTTTATGGATAACAAGATTGCTATTATTGAATTAAGGAATATACTATAAAAGAGATGATTTTTATTTACTAAAGAGATAGAGTATTTATACATGTTTTGAGGAATAGATTTTCCTTAATCAATCACTCAAATCATAATTAAATTAATTATTCAAATCTAATATTGCATCTATCATGATTAATTAAATTAGGGTCTTCTATCATGGCCATGCAAAATTAAGCTTTTATCAAGGATGTCAATTTTGATTCGATGTAATTGAAATGTTTTATGAGGGAGAGGCTTTGTGAGGGAGTATATTAGTTGATCAGTAGTATATACATAAGAAACACGTAGTTGATGTTTGATAACTTAATCTTCAACGAAGTGAAAGTCGATGACAATATGTTTCACGCATGAATGGAATACTGAATTGGTATATAGGTAGGTGGCATTGATATTATAACATTATATTATATAAGTGAATTTGGAGTTGATGTCAAGTTTCTATAGCAGGTTGTGTTAGGATCAAGTCAGCACCAAGAGGGGGGGTGGAGGAGGGGGCAAATTAGTGCTTTTGGAGAACTACATTGATCATGAAAATTCATACGATAAAATAGTATCGAAAAGATGTTTAAGCTTAAAGATGTTCGTAGGAGAGAGATGAAGATGTAAAGTAGTCGCAAAGTAGGTAAATAGCAAAGAAGAGAAGGCACACTAATTTTATAGTGGTTCGGTCATCGTGACGTACATCCACTCCCGATTCCTCCTTTGTTAAGGCCACCGACATTCACTAACGGTCTTCCTTCAATGGGCGAAGACTAACTACCCTCTTACAACTCTTTCTTCTTTTTACAGGTTTAGGAGACAATCTTTATAAGCTTAACACCTCTCTTAGAATGATCACAAAGCTACAGAAGGAGGAGGAGGACACTTAACACTTTTAGAACCCAAAATCTCAAGACTTTTGTTTATACTTTCGTACTTTTTCATGGAAAAAAGAGTGGGGTATTTATAGGCCCCAATGGATTAAAAAATGGAGCAAAAAAGTATCTCATCTCGAGTTTCCTGGGTACTAACATTGACACTAGGTGGTACCACCGCCTAGTCTGGCAGTACTACTGCTTGATAAAGCCTCGGAGATTGGGCTCTGGCGGTACCATTGCTTGCTTGGCAAGTAACATTGCCAGCAAGCATTAATGGCCGGTGATACTATCGCCTAGATCACTTGGGAGGCCAAGCCTCAAGCGATTCCACCACCTAGTTTGGGCAGTGCCACCATATCGCTCCAAGTGGCTGAATGGGCCATCAAACCAGTCCAATTCAGTCCTGTTTTGGCCTAGTTGGCCCCTTAATTAAGTTAATAGAATTTCTTCTAAAACTAACTCAAATTAAAGTCCTAACTGCGATAGTTAAGGGTAGAACAATTATGATACATACAATCTAAGTTTTCTGACATGTCAATTATTTAACCAAACTCTCAATGAACTTCCAACGAGCTCCCAGCAATCTTCCGATGAGCTTTTGGTGAACTTCCGGTGAGCTTTCATTGCAACATCTGATCCTTTGGTGTATCCCCTGATTCATTCGGCTCGATGCTCGATCATTGACTCTAGCCCAACATTCGATTCTCCTTTAATTGTTTTGACTTTTTCACGATCGTAGTTAGTCCTGCATCACTTATCTCAACACATGGATTAGATCATTAATTTACTAATTGATTTCATCATCAAAATTCGAGATTCAACAAGTTAGTGATCCAATTAAGTTCTATAGCAGTGGTGACAATGGCTTAGTATTCAACTTCAATAGTGGACCTTGTAATTATTTTTTATTTCTTGGAAATCTAACTTATTGGATTTATTCCAAAGAAGATAATATAGGCTAACGTAGATATTCTATCAACAATGTTACTTGCCCAATCAACATCGATGAAGGTATGAAGATGAAGTGATGAATATTTAAAAAGGAAAAGTCTATGATTTAGAGTCTCTTTTAGATACTGCAAGACTCGTTTTATTATAGACCAATGCATAGTGAAGGGACGATGCATGAA